TCATTCTGGACAGACACCTCATTGTGACACATCAGATGTGATGGGCAGGACAGTGGTGACAAACCATGGCAATAAAACTGCTTTGTTCTTGTCTGCTGGGAGAGGGTCTCGATGCACTTTGTAGACATCCTGGGATGAACCTTCATAAATCCTCTGTGGAACAGGGAAGTGCCACCATCATCACCACGTGGTGACCACAGGGAACCTCAGTGCTGAGGACCAGGCTGTGGATCATGACATCAAGTCCTGGGCCAAAGTGTCCGTTTGGTGACAAACCCTTGGAATGAAGAATAAGGGATAAAATAACCCAAGAAGACTTGGGTGTGCTGAAGTGCCACTGCTCTAGCTGCTGACCCATTGCAGCACACAAGGCAAGCCATGGGAAGACCTGGTGCCCAGGAACACACTGTGGTCATCCAGGGCATGGTGCCTTCCCAAAGAAACCTGCTGGCAATATTCTCTGGTGGTGGCAGAGTCCCTGAAGAAGATTTGGCCTAGGAAGGCTTTTGATGGTCCCTTTGTGGTTCTTGATGGTTCAAGCACATCTGCTTGAAACAGTTGAGTGGGTGGAAAAGATGAGGAAATGGGGGCTAAGATTTCTTTGGAGGATTTTTGCCTGGGTAGGACAAGTTAGCAGAGGGCCTGTGGTATTTGTTAGTCAGAAGAAGAAAAGGCTCTGAGGTCAAGTGGCCTGGAGCATGGCACAGCATGGCACATCTGCCTGGGCTACTGGAGTGAAACATTCCCATATTTGCATCCAATCCAGCTGATTAAAAAATGGAACACTTAGATGATGACTAGAGCTTGAGACAAAGAGCTATGGAGATGGAAAGAGAGGAGTGTTCACCCACCTGTGGCCTCACATGGTCACCTCTGCTCCTCCAGCTCTGCCACCTCAACTGCTGGAGACTCTAAGGGGGACTCTCCTCTCCCACAGTGTTCACATCTCCCTGCCTGCAGAGGGGGAGATCCTGGCTTTTCTTGGGCCAAGAGAGAATGAAAGATGTGCAGAACCTCAGCAGGGACTGCCTCCCCATCAGCCACGTGCATTTCTCTTCTCTTCACAAGTCACAGATGTCAGGCTGTGGGAAGGTCAGCAAGGGCAATAATTTGACAGGGATTTGCCTTCTGTGAAGAAATATCCAGTGACTGAACTGAGGAGCTTGGAGGTAGTCAGGGGAGAGAAGTGTCCATCAAGGGAAGGGGTCAGGAGATGAGGTGGGAGCCTTTTCTCTCTTGTCCCTCCCATGCCATGAACTGCAACCCTGATCCACAGACAATTCTGGTTGTTGTCCAGAATGATTTTGCCCAAGGCTGCATGGTAATGACCTTCTGAACCACAGAGACTCTAATTTATTCCTTCCCAGCTCAGTTTCTGTCAAACAAAGCCCCAGTACTTCTCACAGATGGAGTCCTTGCTGAACACAGTCTCCATCAGGCTGAGCAGAAGAAAGCTCATGAATTAGGACCAGCAGCCCCAGGATAGTCTGGGAAAGAATAAGGCCACATGGCCACCCCACTCTAAATCTCACTGGGGAAAGACAACATGCTGCTCCTGCCTGCCCTGCACCAGAAAAACCCAGTGCTGCATCAAAAGCCTCCACACAAGAGTCAAGCTCACAACCACCCACAATCCTTGAGTGCTACAGGACTGCAGTGCTGAACTGGGAACATCTTTAAGGCCAAGGAGATAGGAGGTATTTGAGGGGAGGGAGAAGGGCAGAGCTAATTTACATGAAGTTTAGTGAAGAGCCATGTAGGAAGAGCCAGTGAAAAGCCATGTAGGACAGTGTGGGGACGTAGGACATGGAGAGAGAGGAACAGTATGGGAATAGAGTGAAAAAAATGAGGAAGAAATTCTTCCATGTGAGGATGGCCCAGGTTGCCCAGGGAAGCTGTGGCTGCCCCACTCCTGGAAGTGTTGAAGGGCAGGTTGGATGGGGCTTGGAGCAGCCTGGGCTGGTGGGAGGTGTCCCTGCCCATGCAGGGGGGTGGAACTGGGCTTTAAGGTCCCTTCCAACCTCAACCAGTCTGGGATTCTGTGAAGAAGTTTGCATTCTGAAGTCAGTGGCCATCTCACCCAGAGGAGGGAGCATGATGCCATTGGGTGGGCAGCATGGATGTGTGCATGTGGTGGGAGCTCCAGTGCTGGAGTGTCCAGCACTAACTGGTACAGCACTGAGTCTGCCTGTCTTTTCAGAATCTCTGAGACCCTTTCCTGGCCACAAAACAATGATAGGAACAGAAATAAAAAGGAAAAAAAAACCCCAACCAACCCACAACAAACAAAAAACCCATACAGAAATACCCCCCCTAAAACAAACAAACCAACCCAACAAAACAAACAAACCAAAATAAACAACAACAAAAAAATCTGGCTAGAAAACCAAAGATAAAACCCTCACAAATTTTGGACCCACAAGTCTATGTTTTAAAGATTTTACAAATATACAGTATCTAATCAGCATTATATCAGATATACAACATGCCCATTGATTATAATTCTGCTGGATATATAATTTATATGCATGAAATGTAACTGTCTTCATGGTTAGGTCTGGTATTCAGTGGAACTGGAATTTGGAAGGTTTTCTTAAGGGGAGGGGGAGGCATCAGGTGGAGAGAGAATGATGGAAAATTCCTGACCTGCTTTTTTGGTAGAGAGGGACCCTCAGCTTTGTGCTTCTGCTGAGGGCCAGGAGAAGATCTGCTACATATGGAGACCTAGGTTGCAACTGAGAGGAGAGAAAATGCTCAGAAACAGGGGAACTGGGCCAGTGGAAAACGCCATCAGGAAAAGAAACTTCTGCAGAGGCTGGGTGAAAGGGGTGGGAGCCTTGTCCTGAGGGTTCCTGGTGGAGTCAGGACTTGCCCCAGCTCAGGTCAGCAGCGCGAAGCTGGAGGAGCTCTGGTGCTTTAGGTTCAGCCGTGGCAAGAAGCTGGAGGCAGAGAAACCCTCTTCCTCCTTCTTATTTACATGTTGGAGATGCCAAGATACTAGAATGAGTGGAGAAAAGGGTCTAACAAGCATTTCAGCATATTTGTGCTTATTGAACACATCAACCCCACTACTTCCTACACTGAGAGAGCAGGCGATTTGTAGGCACTAGTATATTTTTAACTTATGAGTCTATTGAATATAAACTAAAAGTTGATTTCTCAGCCAGGCTATTCCTGTCCCTAGATCTGCCAGCCCCTAAGGAAGTCTGCTCTTCAATTCACTCCCAGGGTGAGGAAGAACAGATGTTTGGGTGCTGGCTGATACCAAGTGGTCTGGAGGTGGTGGCCAGCAGCCAGAAGTTTGCCTACGTGCTACAGAAAGGCCAAACACGAGGACTGGCACGAGGACTGAGAACAGGGCCCCTTCCCAGCAGGATGGGGTGCTGCACCTCCTCCTCCCTGCCTTACTCGGGCTGCAGGCTGCAAGTTGCTTCTACCTGTAGCGACTGAAAAGTCCTAAACCCCTAAAAACAACGAGATAATGCGGGTGAGCCCTTGGAAGGAGCCATCTACTGCTATGGCTTTCTTTGACAGAAACTGATGCACGTCAGGGAATTCCCTCTGCCACCCCTCACTGTCCCCTCTTGGCTTTGCTCGGGTTCTCCTGCTGCCGCCGGGGCGGCTTCCAAACCCACCGCGGGCCTGTCAGAGAAGTCTTTCCAGACATTAGAGGTTACCTTGGCCTATAAGGCCACTGCAGAATTGGGAAGAGGAGGGGGGGGGGAGTATCTACAAAGGCGGGAGGCCCCATCAAACAGTCACCTCTGTCTTGCTGGCCGTGCGGTAGTGGTGGGGGGGCCCCGGGATGTAGTGCAGCTGCTCCACCGTGTTGTGGCGGGGGGGGGGGGGAGTATCTACAAAGGCGGGAGGCCCCATCAAACAGTCACCTCTGTCTTGCTGGCCGTGCGGTAGTGGTGGGGGGGCCCCGGGATGTAGTGCAGCTGCTCCACCGTGTTGTGGCGGGGGGGGGGGGGAGTATCTACAAAGGCGGGAGGCCCCATCAAACAGTCACCTCTGTCTTGCTGGCCGTGCGGTAGTGGTGGGGGGGCCCCGGGATGTAGTGCAGCTGCTCCACCGTGTTGTGGCGGGGGGGGGGGGGAGTATCTACAAAGGCGGGAGGCCCCATCAAACAGTCACCTCTGTCTTGCTGGCCGTGCGGTAGTGGTGGGGGGGCCCCGGGATGTAGTGCAGCTGCTCCACCGTGTTGTGGCGGGGGGGGGGGGGAGTATCTACAAAGGCGGGAGGCCCCATCAAACAGTCACCTCTGTCTTGCTGGCCGTGCGGTAGTGGTGGGGGGGCCCCGGGATGTAGTGCAGCTGCTCCACCGTGTTGTGGCGGGGGGGGGGGGGAGTATCTACAAAGGCGGGAGGCCCCATCAAACAGTCACCTCTGTCTTGCTGGCCGTGCGGTAGTGGTGGGGGGGCCCCGGGATGTAGTGCAGCTGCTCCACCGTGTTGTGGCGGGGGGGGGGGGGAGTATCTACAAAGGCGGGAGGCCCCATCAAACAGTCACCTCTGTCTTGCTGGCCGTGCGGTAGTGGTGGGGGGGCCCCGGGATGTAGTGCAGCTGCTCCACCGTGTTGTGGCGGGGGGGGGGGGGAGTATCTACAAAGGCGGGAGGCCCCATCAAACAGTCACCTCTGTCTTGCTGGCCGTGCGGTAGTGGTGGGGGGGCCCCGGGATGTAGTGCAGCTGCTCCACCGTGTTGTGGCGGGGGGGGGGGGGAGTATCTACAAAGGCGGGAGGCCCCATCAAACAGTCACCTCTGTCTTGCTGGCCGTGCGGTAGTGGTGGGGGGGCCCCGGGATGTAGTGCAGCTGCTCCACCGTGTTGTGGCGGGGGGGGGGGGGAGTATCTACAAAGGCGGGAGGCCCCATCAAACAGTCACCTCTGTCTTGCTGGCCGTGCGGTAGTGGTGGGGGGGCCCCGGGATGTAGTGCAGCTGCTCCACCGTGTTGTGGCGGGGGGGGGGGGGAGTATCTACAAAGGCGGGAGGCCCCATCAAACAGTCACCTCTGTCTTGCTGGCCGTGCGGTAGTGGTGGGGGGGCCCCGGGATGTAGTGCAGCTGCTCCACCGTGTTGTGGCGGCGGGAGGCGAACGCCTGGCGCTTGGCCGAGGTGGGGTTCATCCCCAGGGTGTTGTACAAGTTATTGGAGGCACTGGGATGGGAGTGCATTTTGGTCATCCTGTAGCGATCCAAGACGGGGGTGGATACAAAGACGTCTGTGTGTGACAAAGCCCGGGACATGGACTGCTCGGGGTAGGCCGAGCGCTCCGGGGAGAGCAGCGGGTCCTGGGAGTGCAGCCGCTCCGCCGACAGCAGCTGCTCGTCCGAGAGGATCCGCTCGTAGGACATGCTGAACTCCTCGGGCATGATCCTCTCGGGAGACAGCACCCTGTCCTGGGACATGGCCCTGATGGGGCGGCGGGGCCTGTCCCTGTGGTTGGTCTGTTGAGACATCTTGATGACGTTGATGGGGAGCGTGCCCCGGGCTGCCAGGTCGGGCAGGTGCCTCCTCCTCATGTAGTACTCGTCAGCCTCCTTGTCAGCTGTGGGGAAGGAGAGGGAACAGTGAGGAACATCACAGCTTTGTCCCAGGGGGTGAAAGTGAGCCGTGTACATCACACCTCCTGGTGAGGCCCGAGGGACCGTCTACCAGGAGTTGGCACAGACATCAACATCCACATCAAGGTGCCTCCCATCAGAGAGATGGGTTGTGTCACCGTGGGTGTGTGGCAGACAGAGAGGGTTATCATTGCAGCCAGGTGGGTAAGGGTCCCTGTGCAATGCATCACAGCTTCTCACACCGGGACACAACATTCATGGGCTGCTGAGTCCAGGCTGTGGTGTCACATGATGTGCACAAGCAGTGAGTTATGGAGAAATGATCATCTCACCTTCACAGGACACTCACAGGGAAGGTGAGCTGAGGAGGGCAAGTTCCTCAGTTGAGGAAACTCACACCTTGCTTCTGGCCTCAGAGGTGCATGTGCTCTGGACCCCACAAGTGCCCTCCTCACATTTTTAATTACTATTCTTGAGTATTTGTAAACGTGACCAGAAAGCAGTGTTGGTGGGCACGGGACACTCTGAGACACCAAATCATCTGCTTAAGGTTTCCTTTTTTTTCAGACACCTTGGTTGCTATCAAAGAATCCATCCCACAGAACATTTCTTTCTCAGTTTGTTTCTTCTGTGTCTTAAATGATCAGTGCACACACTCCACACACTCACCCTCCTCTTTCTGGCTTTCAGGCAACCATTCCAGACTCAGAGAGGAGGTTGGCTGTTGCAGATGTGCCCTGAGATACCACCTTAATCCTACAGCAGCTGGAATGATCCAACCAACTTGCAATTTGAAGAAGACCTTCACATTGGTGCCTTAAAGTCTTCAGCCAAACCCTGGAGTACTGGAAGCAACAGCCTGTGCTTGGGTGATCTCACTCACTGGTGTTCTCATTTCCTCACTCACACATCCAGCACTTTTCTCAAAGCTCCTCGTGGTCCTGTGGACAGTCCACAGAACCCAGAGGATCTGTGAGGTGGATGGTTGAGTCCCCCTGTCTCAGCACCCAAAAGCACAAGCTCAGAACACGTGTGGTGAAATTTTTTCTGCCAACCCCTCCTCTGCAGCCTACACACCACCAAGGAGAGAGAATTGCCAGAGCTCTCCTCTCCTGGCATGATGCTGCTGCTGAGATCTGCTCTCCAGAGTATATATTGCAGGAATGAGTCTTTTTTTTTTGCAATCAAAAACCTTCTTGGAAGAGCATCTTATGGCAAAGTTGGACAGCAGCTCCCCTGGCCACCAACATGTTTGTGTTTAAAATCCCCAACCTAGGAAGCCTGAGAAGGACTGGGGAAATTCCACATGGCCAGAGTGAATTGTAGACATTTTTCTTCTGTCCCATGGCCACAAACAGACTTGCAGACACTTTGTGTGCACAGGATAGTGGTGCTTGCTGGTGGGTTCAGAAGAGGAGCTCAGTAATTACCACTCTGGCACTTGGATGAGAGAAGTTCCAGTAGATTTGCCCAAGTGACTCGAAATAGATGTAATTAAAGCAGAAAACAGCCCAAAAGGAGCTGTGCTTGGATGCTCACACCTGGCTGTGCTCATTGCCAGCAGCAGCTAAACCAGCTTATATGTCTTTCACAGTGGTCTGAGGGCTGGTGAGGCAGCAGAATCAGCTGATTCAAAGTGGTTTGAGGTTTCCTTACTAATTTGGATTAAAAATGCAGCGTGGTCTATGCTTTAAAAGTTGGCCTTTTGGTGACAGTGACTAAAGCACCCAGGGGGCTGATTCAATTTCAGAGGTGTTTCTAAGCTCACAGAGCCTCCTGTGATGGCAAGAGACACGTTTGGATGTTGGCACAGCTACTCCAGGAACATGTTCAGGTGTGGACAAACTTCACATTTCTACCTGGAAGGAATCAGAGCTGAAACTGCAGTTTCCCATGAACCACTGTCCTGGTTTGAGGACAAATCAGTACAAGGAAAATTGGCTTCATCCTGGCTCAAACCAGGAGAACCACATGCTGGTTTAAGCAGGCACCAGGCAGACATTCAACAGGTTGTTGCCTCTGAAAGGTGGTGGCAGCTCCTGAGCTTTGAAGCAGCCATGGAGAAGGCAGCTGTGCCTTCATGCCAGGAGCTCAGCTCAGCTCTGCTCTCATGCATTCTGCACCAGGGGAAAGCAAGGCAACCAACACTGCTCCAGCAGTGAGATGGGAGGCACCAGGTTCTTCACCCAGTGGGTGGGAACTGTGGTTGCATAGTTTGCTAACCTCAAAATGTCTCCAGGACCAGAAAGCATCTGGTCTGATTAATCTCATCCTCATTGCAACAGCAGGTTCACTGGGATAGTGAAGCTCTGACACTGCTACCTCTTCTCTTTTTTGGTGGAGCTCAGATGACAACTGACCTTTGTCATTTTAGCTAAAATAAAACTAGAGTTAAATAGGTTTCTCCCTCATGGATCTGATTAAAAAGTCAGAAATGTGTCCTCAGTGGATTCCAAAAGCCCATAATTGATGAAAGGAACCACTGGATTGACAGAAATTTCTCTGGTTTGTTTTTTTTCTTTTTTTTTTTTACACTAATCTCATACTTCTGGGTCTTTACTGATCTTTTCCAAATATGTGGAAGAGGAATTACTGGAAATCACAGTTTCTGCACAATCTATATGGTTTTTACTCATTTTTGTTTGGTTTCTTTCCCCCCACTGCCTCCCTTCCCCTCCTGCAACCCTCCTTCCCTCCTTTGGCAATTTCTGGAACATTGCCCAGGGCTGGTGTCTCCAAACTTCAGGAGTATTTGAGTTCTTCATCTGTATTGCCTTTAGGGTAGGCTGATTTGCCTCCATGAAGCTTTTCCCCCCCCTTCCTTTTGGAGGGAGAGCCCCAGATGGGTGCTCTGACTCACACATCTCCTCTCAACATGCCTAAGATGCCAGCACAGGAAGGTGGAGCACAGCTTCTCTGACACCAAGATCAGAGAAACAAGAAGCATTTGTGGTTTGCTGGTAAGAGAGGGTGGAAAAGCCAAGGACAGTTATTTTCCCCAGGGTTGCATGCTAAGATGGTTAAAAAATCTGCATATGTGTATGGGTGCAAGGCCACCCCAGTAATTCCTTTGCTTTTCTTAAAGGTAATAGCTTTTCTTTCTCTGCAGTTCCAGTGTATTTCCTCTCATTTCTCTCTCTCATATTTTAATTGGCTTTAACATTTTCAAGCTGCCTAGTCATTTGTGATGATTCTTTAGCCAATACCAAAAGGTTTAATATGCCTGAAATTATGAGCTTCCTGCCTGCCTGACCTTTCTCACTTAGCTGGAAACAGCAATTCCCTTGGAGCTCAGGGCAGGACAGAATTAAAGTGGCTGCTCTTGCTCAGCAGTGTGTTCCCACACCCACCTACTGCTCTGCCCACCCAACAGGGTAAAGCTGGTGTAGGGCTTCCCACTGAGGTGGCACCCTGCTCCTCAGAGATCCTCCTACCTGGCTGGCAGGCAGCACTCCCAGGTGGGTTTTCTCTTCCCAGTGTCCTGAGGTTGGAGCTGGGGAGGTAAAACACACTGCTTGGAAGGGACTTGGCTCTCTATGCAGCGAGCAACCTGTTTTCTCCTGTTTTCTAACAGACCTGGACATCTTCAAGCCTTTGCTGTGGGAGGAGAAGCAGCTGTGGTGCTGCTCTCAAATGCCAGCAGAGGTGAGCAGGGTTGGAGCCCAAGCTGAGCACCCTCCCCAGGGAGGCAGAGATAAGAATGTGACCAGGGAACAAAGCTGATGGCAGAAGCAGAGTTGTGTGCTGGGAAGATGCTCCAGTCAGGAAACACCTCATCTCTGTTCTCTAGCACCACTAACCACACGCTTGCCTTTAAGTACATCAAATGTGCTTGTCTCAGTGTTCAGTATGTACATAAATCCCACATGGAAGCACCAAGGAGTGAGCTGAGATTCCTGTGTGTTATGTTTCCATCTTCTCTTCTGGAAAATCTTCCCCCCAGAGATTCACTCTGGACAGTTCCAAGGCCTCCCTGCCACTTCGTGTGTTGTGTCTCATCTTGCTGGCCCATTTGGGAATGCAAGATTTTAGATAGACTAAGGAAGCAGAATCTGCTCCTCATCCTTACCTACCTTGGAGGAATCTGTTGCAAGTATAAACATAAGTTATTTCTCTAAATGAGGCAGTGTGGAGATGTGGCTGTATTCAGAAGATACTCGTGTAGACCAACTACCAACCTGGTGTCTGGAGAGAGCCTCCCCAAATATCACTTATTTCATAAGCCCACCCATGCTCAAAACGTGGCATCAGCAAAGGTGATGGGCTGGAGCATTGCAGGAAAGCTGGGAAAACAATGCAATGAATAAAACAGCAGGAAAGAACAGACAGCAGTTGGTGTGATCGGGGCAGTGGGCACTGAGCTGCAGAACCAGAGCTGCCCCAGGGATCAGTGAATGGCCCAGCTCAGGACCAGATCCAGACACACAACCTAGGAAAGGTGGCAGATGGCAGCACAGCTCAGGGCAGGCAGATGTGCTGCTGTTGAAATAGGTGCTCCCAACCATCTCAGCATCTCTCTGCTGGTCTGAGTTTGCCCTCTGGTCCCAGCTCTCCCCACAGATGGTGAGTTATCTGCCCTGGGTCCATCAAGGCGAGCTGGGCTGATCTGAGGCAGCTGCCTTGGCTCATCCTGACTCTGGCAGAGAGAAGCAGGATTCCCAGATGACTATCAGGAGCACACAGGAGAAGCAGTGGGAGGCAGCACAACAAGGAGGTCAGTAAGCAAATAACCATGTGTGCTCTCACAGTAATGAAATGACTTTTCCTCTGTATTCTTCCCTGATGGGAAGAGACAGTCAAAGGAACCATTACTGGAGCTGCCAACTTGAGCAGTCCAGCACCAGAGAAGGTTATTGCCTTAGCATTGTCCCCACTGCAAATGAGATACAAAGGAAATGAAATGAGCTGACACCTACTTAGTCTCTTCAGAGAAGAATATTTACTTGAGTTGGTCTTGACAGCAGATTCGTAGGACGGCGGGAGGTGAGAGAGGTTCTGGAAGGACCGGGAGAAGGACAGGTCATAGGGTTCAGTGGCAGAAGTAAGGATGTTGTTCATCCGTGGTTTGTCTGCAAGAAAAAAACCAACACAACAGAGAAAGGCATGTCCACAGTGTGCACCAGAACAAGCTGAGAGAGACAAGCCATTCCCACTGCCTCCAGCAGGGAGAAGGACTGTTGCTGAGCCAGCCACAGGGACCTGCTCTTGGGGCTAATTCAAAGTGGCACTGACAGGCTGGTGAAAAAGGGATCCTGTGGTGTTGCCTCTGTCTCCACAGTGACTAGAGAGGTGCAAACTAGTGCCTTGAAAGCACATGGAGCTCCTCACAGTAGCACAGAGGGGTTGGTGGAGGGCTGTGTCAGGGTGTTGAGGGCTGACCCCGCCTGCCTTCACCCCAGGGAGCTCTGCCTTCCCACCCTCCCAGCCATGGGAATGCATCTGTGGGGTAACTGCAACTGGGAATGATCATCAGATTACCCTTTCACCATGCCAGGTTTCTGATTCATGCTCTGAACCTGAAGGGGTCCTAGATAGGGCTGCTCCATGGCCCCAGGGGTTCTGGTGGGTTCCAGACACAGAAGCTGGGGGATGCAGATCTGGGTGCAGATAGCTGGGTTTGGAGCAGTTTGTGATGCAAGAAAGGAGGTGCCATCCTTGAGAGGAGAAGGATGATGCTCTTCTACTGATTTTAATGTTGTTGGCCACCGTGGGAGTCCCCAGGTGGTACCAGAATGTCAGGGGGCTCACGCTGAGGGCACTGGCAGTAAAGATCAGCACTGAGCCCAGATGTTAAAAATCAGGCCCAGACAACCTGCAGTTTGTCTGCTTTTGAAACCATGCTCCTCTGCTTGCAAGCTGGGTGGCAAATGGTCCTTCTTCATCCCTTTCCCAGCTATGCCCAGGGTGTGAGTGGAGGAACAGCTTCCCCTGTCCTTGAGCACCAGTCGGGCACCAGCACGGGGTTCCCCATCCTCTGCCACCCCCACCACTGCCAGCACAGCCTGGGACAGGGGGGACAAAACTGAACAGGGTCTTGGCTCCTTCAGCAGGCACCTGCACCCTGTCCTCTGGGCTCAACAACTAACAGCCCATGTCAGCCACCCTGGAGAAAAGGAGCAGCCCAGCTCTCTGCCAGAGCATCATCTTTTTTTTTTCTTCTCAGATCTAGGAAATTACAAGGCACTTCCCTACAGAATTTAGCAATGGTGAAGATTTCCTCTTGACAACACAATAACCACCTTGGTTAACAAACTCTTCTTTCCTATTGCTGATGTCTCTGCACTCCTGGCCTAAGGTTATTGTCTGGCAAAAAGGACACAGACCCCAGTGAGCATGTAGCTACTGTGTCATCTCTCTGAGAAGATGATTTCCTTGCTGATGACTTCAATCCATGTCTAATAGACTGACTGCAGGATTAGGAAGTGCATCCTATTCATCAGGGCACTGGAAACAATTGATTAGATATTATCCAGTAAACAAGAGACTAGATCAGCATTGCAACTATGTCCCCACTCCTCTTTGTGCTTGTGTAGCAAGGACCCTGGGGTAACATCTCTTTGCAGATTTCTCAACCAGAACCTGTGTCTAATTTCCATTTTGCATGGAGGTTTGGACGTGCTGAAATCACCCCAGTCAAATGGATGGAATTTGTGTTCAGTGCCAAAGCAGGAGCACTAATTGACTGCTTGCAGGAGGGGTGTGAAATTAAGTGCCACACTTTTTATCTGATGGGCTTGGACAGAAGCAGTGCATCTTCTTCCTGCTTTTTCCAGCCAGTCAGTCAGGAGCAGACCCTAATGATTTTGGCAAATGAGAAGTCACCTTGAAATCCACCACCCATCATTCAGGAAAATAGGGGATAAACTGAAATGCCAAAATAATTTCAGATGTCTTTTGCATAATGGCATTTGAGAGCAACATCTGAGAACTGAGAGACTCCAGTAAGGAGAAATGTGGCATTTGTATTCTGGGACCAGTTCAGCAGAAGTTTCTTAGCAGTTCTTCACTCCTGCAATGTAGTAGTAGTGCTTTTCTCTGATTTCTCTCCTTTTTACCCCTGTTTGTGGTGTTTGTTGGCTCCTATGGAAGATGCAGGATGTAATTAATTCACAAGATGTAAAATGCAAAGGTCTCCACATTCCCTGCAAGGCAACTGAAGTTGTATGCTGCTCTGTTCCCCAGCATTCCCACTCATTCCAGTCCAGTGCTCCATGCTGGGCAATGGGAGATGACCCATTGGGAAAAAACTGGGATTTCCTTTGGTTACTGGGATTGCCTTTGAAAGTCACCATTAGTCCATATTTTCCTCCCCACCATCCTGCAGCCAGATGCCCTCAGTGGCCCCTGATACACCATCCACTCTGGGCACAATTAGCAAAGTTAATTGCAGAGGAATATGGAGGAAATGAAGCTCCCCCAGTGCAGAGCTGGGAACACCACCCAGAAGGGGCATTTCTCTTGGTTTCTGAATTCTCCTTGCTGCAGCCTCAAAGCAACCACATATTTATTTATTATTTTTTTTACAGCCAATGCAACATCTTAACATTCTGGCAGCATCTCTCTGATGAATTAAGCAGGAGCAGGCTGAGCTCTGCAGCATCTCCTCATCCCCTCAGCACCAGAGGTTTCTCAGTGCTCTGCTCACAGTCCCAGCCAGGGGCAGGGCTGGGGACATGGCACAACACTGCCCAGTGCTCACTGGGCTGCACAATCTTGGCATGACAGGGTCAGGAAAGGAGGAGGTATCTCTGTGGACAAGACTCTTCCTTTGCAGTTCTCATTTCTTGGACTCTTCAGCCAGAACCCTGCATTTCTTCTCTCAGGCCAGTCCAAACCCTGATGTATTTCCATGAGGACCAGTGGGCAGGTTATGGGCAGGCTCAGAAAGGCTCCCCTGCTGCAATTCAGACCAGGATCTTGCATAAAACCTGGGAAGGTGCCCCACTGGGGCAGCCCAGCAGGGAGCTCTGCACCCCAGGACCCAGGAGCACTGCTTGCACCAACAGATTGCCAGGGGAACACGTTCCCTGGTCCATCCAGTATCCTGAAAATATGTTCTTGGTTGGCATATCACCCAGATGGGTGTTGGAGGCTGCAGCTCCCTCTCTGCACTGGGGACTGCAACTCCAGCTGCCTCTGGGTGGCCACACGGATTCCCTGCTCTGTGATCTTTGAGGGAAAGAAAGATCCCTCAGGGAACCTGGAGGGAGAGAAAGTTGAAGGAGAACCTCATTTCACTGTCAGGACTTTGCAAACTTTCTGCAAGCTCAGAATTTCAGGATTTTTAAAACTGGAGGCTTGTGTGGTGGGGATTAGAGGTGAAATCTTCCCCAAGTGTCTCGCTCTGCCCCTGCTCTTGGAAGACACTTTTTGTTTCCAAGTGTGTTTACATGAACCTCTCATGTACAAGAACAGGAGCAGATGATCCCCAAGCCAAAAAGAGGGGATTTATGGCAAAGTTGGAAACAAAGCTCAAGTGGCAAAAGGGATGTGCTCCATATTTGCATACGAGTCTGCACATATGTTGTGTGAATTTTGCAAGACATTTCAACAGATGCCTTTTAAAACATTCACCCAGAGAAAGCAAACAATGTCACCTAGGAGAAGCTGATACAGCCAAGCCTTCTGCTGCTCAGCTTCAGCTCAGCACAGCTCCCATCCTCTGTCAAAGCACACCCTGCTCCCCCAGCCCTGCCTTCTGCTCAGCCATTTGAAGGCTCAGACACCAGAGTCTTTCTCCAGCTCTGATGGAAGCTCCTACAAGGGCCCACATTTCCTCAGGAAGAATTTGGTGGCAGCTGATGATGTTTGGGAGCCTCCTGTGCCAAGATGTAGCACCTCCAGAGTCATCCTGGCAGTGACACACTGTTAGTGCAGGCAAAGAACTGATGTTCACACACTCAGATTAACATTTGTAACATGTATCTCCAGTGTTTGGGGGGGGGAACTATTTGTGTTTTCACACTTCTTTTTTTTTTTATGTTACTAACACTATAAATAACAGCCTTATCTCTCACCAAGAGGCTCAAAGAGGTTTATACATTTCCAGGTCAGATCCTTAGTGGTGTAAATCAGCAGGACTCCAATGAACAGCTGCCCCCATTTCTATGAGCTGGAGGGGAGGGATTTCAGATACTGCCAGTGGTAAAAAAAACCACCCTGCATGGTGCTATGATTAGGTCTTCAGGGCTCATGGCTGAGAGCTGAGCAGCAACCTGGAGGGGTAAGGTGCAAAAAGGATGAGGTGCAAGATGATGCCCTTAAATGCTGCAGTATTATCAGTGGTACACCTGAACTGCATCACCTATATTAACTATATTAACACAAGGAGGATTCTGAGCACACCAAGTCTTTAAATGAACACAGCACAGTTACCCACCACAACACCAAGGGAGAGGGAGGATGTTGCCAACTAAAAGGAGAGGGAAAACCACAGAAAGCAGTCCCAGCAGAAGATGCATTCACTGAGCTGCAGAAAACAACCAGTGGCTCTGGCTCCAGAGCAGCCAGCACGTAGAACTGTACAGAAAAGGGACTTGGACTCGTTCTTGCTGAATTTGAGAGGGTGGGATTGAAAACTGTCAGCCTCTGAACTCCTTCCACCTCTGCAAGTGCCTCCCCCTCAAAGCTGCCCATTGCATGGAGGAGAAGCTGATTCAAAAAGGACAATCCATGAGTGTGTCTGGTCCTGGCAGCAGATAAACAAAGTGAGCCCAAACTAGCTCTAGCTGCTGAGAGCAAGCAATCATCCCTCCTGACAGGGCTCTGTGTGACCACCTCCTTTCAGCCCTTTGGGACTAGGGTGAGGTTTAAGCCCCTCAGACAGGTTGAAGTTGGTGTAGAGACCACCACAACCTTCTGGTGGAGTCCCAGTGAGCTCCACGACGACAGCACTTCCAGCAATGCAAACAGCAAAACCCCCTTGGCCTCAGCACTTTTACATGCTCTGACTTTTATGATGCTGTGCTTCTGCCTCCAGGATCTTTGGTGTTTGTCACAGGTCTCATGTCCAGTAGGAATAAAAACACTCCTTCCCCTTCCTTATGGTTTCAGACCTTCTGCTGCTGTC